GAAAGAAAGTTAGAAAATTAGTTCATGTAGATCTATGTACTTTGAATGGAAGTGAAATGTGTTTAATAGAGCATAAACCAGAGCATCATTTGAAGGTTTTTGAGGGAGCTTCTTTCTAGGGTGTTCATCTGGAGGTAAGTTGAAGGTGGAAATGAAAATGAGAGACCACTAACCAGGCCATTATGCTATTTTCTTTTTAGATAGAATGGTGTTACACTGCTCTGAGGTATAGATCTTGATCCTTTTTGAGTGAGAAAAAGATTAAACGTGATAACTATAGGCATCTGCCTAAGTCACTTGCGTATGTTTCAAAGCATTTCCATTTCCTTAGTATCTACCAGGTTGGGACTTAGTTTCTTCAAAAGTCATTATTGTTTCCAGTCTCTCAGAACCAGTGGACAGTGATGCTTTTAGCATTGAGATTCTCATCAGCTGTCCCAAAGCTGAACACATGATTGGAACTTATTGAATTGAATAAATGAAGTTCTGCTAGCAGTGCCTTTTGATGTCATTCGCAGACCTGATTCATAGCATGGGTAGGGAGTTGGTTAGGGAAGTGGGAGAAGAGACCCTGTGAAAGAAAGAAGAGAAAACAAGGCACAATGTGGTGAATAGTGAATAATGGCCACTGATGATTTTCACTGGTTGAAGTTTGAGGCCATAGTTACTTCTTGCTGTGGAACCCATAAAAGTTCCCTGAGTCTTTCCTTTGATCTCACCTTCTCCTGCCTGATCATGGTTTGAGAAAATGATGAATGCACAGGTGGGGAGCAATGAAAGCAAAAACATGGAGTTTATTTTGGGACACCACCCAACTGCCATAGCAGGCTGAGTATTTTTGCTGGGTAATTGGCAGGACTTAATAGTGCTACTGTTGGCTGAAAAACTTTTTTTTTAGAATTGCCTTATAGTTTCCTCTTTTACAAGGTTGCTTGATCTTAGCCTGTAACTACCTCCACACCCTATTAACTATGATATTCTTTCATGATCTTAGTGCTCCATAAACCAGTGGCACTTCCTGCAACCAATGTTAGAGGAAAACTAATGGTTAGGCTCTTCTGGACTCCTAGATAAGCAGCTTGTGAGAATTCTGTTAGTTGAGGAATGACTGAAAGCCAGTCAGGCTCTTCCCTAAAGGAGTGGAAAAATAACTGAAATTCATTTTTATCATTTCCCTGACACTTTTTTTTTCATAGCACCTGGAATGGAAAAAAAAAATGGTAGTTTTTGTTACTTCCCAGTAAGTTCTATATCTGGAATGAGAACCATGAAATTAATAGAGTAAGACATTTCTAAGGAATAAATGGAATTGAGCAGCACCAAGAGGACCTGAATGGACTACTTGAGTGAGCTGAGCTACAGAAGACTTTGCCAGCAGAAGGATTTATGGGAAACAATTGATCAGAAATACCAGTAGAGAAACTTTTTAAAATTTTCCAAGCAGTGGAAACATTGAGTCTTAGTTCAAATTAAACAAAATCTACACTGAAGAGAAACCAAATAAAGTCTCAGATATAAAATGTGTATTATTTAAAACCCTAAAGTAAATTTAGGAAAACAAACAAAAAAACGGATCTTCAAAATTTTTTTAACTTTTTAATTATGGTGAAATATTTATAAAACTATTACACTCACCTCTAAGAATTGCCATGATTCTGAAACTTGCTAATATCCCACATATGAAACAGTTTCGTTGAAAAATAATACTTGAGAATACACCATATGTACACAAGGAAGATCTGAGAGTGGAAAGGTGCCAGTAACAAATTATTTGCCTTCTTACAGATGACTTTGTTAAAGATCAGTCTTTGAGAATGCTATATTGAGTGTAATCAAAGGAGGATTTCATTCATATGGACAGCAGAAACTACTAACTTTTTTTCACTTAAAGATATTTATAACTGTTACTGAATTCTAGCTCTCTAGACATCCCAATGTCAGGGTAAGCTTGGAGTCTATCCAGGTGGATGGGCTGCTGCCCAGTGAACACTACATACAGAGCAATATGAACACCAATTCTTTTCTGGCAGTGAGGTAAAATCAGGTACTTATGGAAGAGGAGGAGCCTCACTGCATCTCTGCTACACAAGATTACTCTGTCCTTGCCTTTGAAGCTTCCACATTCCCATGTTCTCAAGCACCATTAAAAAAAAGTTTTATTTATTGATTTTAAATAAAGAGGAAGAGAGAGAAACATTGATTTATTGTCCACTTACTTATCCACTTACTGGTTGATTCTCTTTTTTTAAATATATTTTTTGTTAATTTCAGAGAGGAAGGGAGAGGGGGAGGGAGAGAAACATCAGTGATGAGAATCATTGATCGGCTGCCTCCTGCACGCCCCCTACTGGGGATGGAGCCCGCAACCCAGGCATGTGCCCTTGACCGGAATGGAACCCAGAACCGTTCAGTCTGCAGGCAGACACTCTATCCATTGAGCAAAACCAGCTGGGGCTATTGGTTGATTCTTGTATGTGCCCTGACGATATGGAATCCACAACCTTGGCATATTCGGACAATGCTCTAATCAGCTGAACTACCTGGTCAGCGCCTCAGCACCACTTTTTTGGTTGTTGCTAATCCTGATCCTATATTTTTTCCATTGATTTTTAGAGAGAGGGAAGAATGAGAGAGGGAGAAACATCCATATGTGAGAGACATATCAATTGGTTTCATGCACCCTGACCACTGGGGATTGAAGCTGCAACCCAGGTACATGCCCTTGGCCAGGAATCGAATCCATGACTCTTCAGTGTGCAAGCTGATGCTCTAACCATTGAGCACACTAGTCAGGATGAGCACCACTTTTTATTGAGGCTTATCTCACCTGGGTCTTTACTTGTGAGCACAATTTGCCCACTCTCTTCCTTTTGTCTTTTTCTGTGTTGACTTACCGAGTATGCAGGTATTCCTGTTACTCCTGACTGATTCTGCTATATCTGTCGAGGGAGAAGAGGAGCAGGGAAGTTCTGAAAACTGATCATCCATGTCTTGAAGGAGTGAAAGCAAGAGAAGACTTTATAAGTGGCAGCTTTCTGAGTTCATAATACCTTTACCTCTAGACTAACACTTTAATAATAAGCCCTTATCCCTTTAGCTCATTATCCTTCAAGTCAAATGCCTGTACCTTCTAAGGAATTAAGCTAATTTCAGGTTTTTTGTTTTGTTTGAATGTTTTTTTCCAATTCAGTAAGGTTTTTCCCTTTTCTCCTGTTGGTTATTTAAAACCAAACTCAGTATGAAAAAGAGAGGGAAATATACAGCATTGAATTTGGAGGATAAAATGAAGATTCTAAGTAGGATTGAAGCTGGATGATCTCTTAAAAGTGTAAAGGATGAATTTGGAATCAGTAAATCAACATTTTTATGACATTAAAAAGAATAAGAAATTTATTTTGGACTTTGTACTGAAGCAGGACATGCCATTAGTTGGGGCTGAGAAGAGAAAGAAGACAACAGGAACCAAACATGGTGATGTGGACAATGCTGTCTACATAAGGTATCAATAGAAACACTCAGCTAGTGTCGCTGTTAGAGGTGTGGAGCTTCAGACTGCTGCAGAGATTCGCACAGTGTTTTGGGCAACAGACTTCAAAACTAGTACTAGTTGGCTTATTATTT